TACCCACGTACGTCCCCATGGAGCCGATGTCTCCGGCACCGTCACCACCTCGCTTCTGGTGCGACTTCCGCAAGGAGTTCACCTCAATCCCGCACACGCTTGAGTACTCATACTCGCTGCCGACGCCCACACCAGCCTCTCCGACTCCAGTGGCGACAGGCAACGGCGTCCCCCCGCTCGATCCGTGGTTTCTGAACACGCGGGCTGCTCCCGCGCTTGACGCCGTGAAGATTGAGGAAGAGGAGGATGTGGTGACCGGCCTCGGCATCGGCGACATCTTCAACAGCACGGCGAGGTATGGCGTCTCGCCGTACTTCTTCCTCGACAGGGCCGGACCCTCGGCTTCACCTCCGGCACGTGCGGGCCCCTCGGCTCCTCCTCCGACGGCGACCCGCCAACGGCTCCTCCTCTGCCCGTGACCCGCGCGGAGGCTGCGGCCCGCATGAAGGAGCAGGCTCCCCCGGTGGCTCCTCCAACTTCTGCTAAGGGCAGCGCCCCCATGCCCCCACGATTCGGCGCCTCCTCGGCCGTAGGGTGGCGGCGGTTGACTGGCGCCCCGGCATCCGCGCAGGCTCCTGGAACCCGGCGGCCCTTGGTCTCCCGAGCGCGAAGGTCCTCAATATGGCGCTGGGTGGCGGCGACTTCTAGTCCCCCGACGACGGGGAGTCTTCCTCGAACTGAAGACCGACAGCGGTGGCGTAGAGGAGTGCGACGTCGAGGTGGTTTTGCGGCGGCGGCGGCGGCAACCGAGATGGCAGCGGCGGCGTGCAGTTAGGGGCTGAAATCCTAACTGCCGACCGACCCCCCTTTTATGGGCTGCTGCGCGCGACATGGGCCGGCCCAAGGCCAGTGCCCTGCCCTCCTCCACTCTCTACGCCTGTCCAAATGGGCCAAGCTGGGCCCAAAATCGAAAATGGGTTCAATCCCATTCCAATGGCCTGACTGGCTCCTTATATTTTTTTTATTTAATTTCAGCATTAAGTCGTCAATGACTATGTTAGTCTCTTATAATTATGTGCTGTAAAATAAAGTATTCTTATGTTTAGTCGCTGACTTTAACTATAGTTGTACTTGCACCGTTCGTCTAAATGGCCGTTTAGCCCGTTTACACACCGTTTAAACACTACACGGTGGTACACCGTTTCCGTTTAATCGGTTGTTTTGACCATTTAAACGGCCGTTTTCCCGTTTTAACACCTGTTTTGCTCGAATAATGGGCTAAACGGTAGGTGACCGACTGTTTACCGTTTAACGTTTAGGATAACAATGTGTACTTGTGATATTTTATCATTGTAAAATATCCATTTATGATATTATTCAAAGTATTTGTCCCTGTATGTATGGCAAATCCAATAAATAATATCCTTGTTATTACGACCATGATCTTGCAAATTATTTATTCATTAATTACTTTTGCAATCAATCATTTTATTTAAGCCCCTTTTATGCTTTTTGACTTTAAAGCACTACGCGCTTAAATAATGTATGCGACATTTTATGTATATTTTCTCATCAATTGTATAACATGCATGTTCCATATTTGTTTGTTGGCCATACACAAGGTAGCACCACTGTTGCTACTGCGGGATCTACACTAAGTAAACACTTAGTGACTATCCTCAACGTGCATACCCAACATCATAAATGAGAACATTTGGTCTACATCTTTTCACAAAGATGAGTACCGTTAATTCGCATTCCTATTGGCCATACACAAGGTAGCACCATAGTTGCTACTGTGGGATCTACACTAAGTCCACAACTTAGTGACTATCCTCAACGTATGTATCCAATTCGTTTGCGAATTGACTAAGGTCTACATCATTCTTGATGACTACCTTAAGACGTGTTTATACAACTTGCATAATTACTTGGCATCTACTGTTAATACAGACTATGCCCAATTTGAGGTCTCCATTTTTATGGTGACTACCTCCATTACTTCATTATGCACATGAGATCTTTACAACATTAATAATACAAGATTTATCTTGTCTCTATTTTGCATCCCATAATTACAACACACCATAACATTTTAATAACTTAAAATATTTTGATGGTTTGCCTCGTGTAGGATCAATGACCGTCAAAAGAGTTTGATTTGCTTGCTCTAGACGGCCACAATTATCCCACATAGGCTGTGGACATAAATGTTAGTCTTGCATCCCGTGGACTTTATCGAGCTGTGTTACCACCCGAAGAGGGTGTTGCACCACTAGAAGATCAACATGTATACTCGGCCCTATATCTAGACGGTGTTGCTCTAGACGGCCCTATATCATTAAGAAATCTCGAACGAGATTTTGTATTATATCCATGTATGTTGATGATTTAAATATTATTGGCAGCCCAAAGGATATAGAAGAAGCACACAAACATCTAAAGAGGGAATTCGAGATGAAGGATTTGGGTAAGATCAAGTATTGTCTAGGCTTACAACTTGAGCACCGTCCTTCAGGGATTTTAGTGCATCAATCAGCCTATATCCAGAAAATATTAGAGAAATTCAATATGGATAAATCATACCCTATTAAAACTCCGATGGTTGTTCGTTTCTTAGAAATAGGGAAAGATCCATTTAGACCACATGATATTGGGGAAAAGATGTTGGGACCAGAGATCCCATATCTCAGTGTCATTGACGCACTTATGTATCTTGCAAATTGCACCAGGCCTGATATCGCATTTACAGTTAACTTACTAGCTAGGCATAGTGCGGACCCAACTCGCCGTCATTGGATGAGAACGAAGTGTATCCTCAGATACCTTAATGGCACAAAGGATCTTGGTTTATTCTTCAAGAAAAATCATGATCCCAGTATGATTGGTTATACTGATGCATGTTACTTATCTGATCCTCATAACGGAAAATCTCAAACAGGATTTGTATTCCTACATGGAGGTACAGCTATTTCATGGAAGTCTTCTAAGCAGACTCTGACAGCAACCTCTACTAATCATTCTGAAATTATTGCTCTACACGAGGCATCACGAGAATGTGTATGGCTTCGCAGAATGATTAACCACATACAACAGTCATGTGGTATTGGTTCAATTGAATCACCTATAATTATCTATGAAGATAATTCCACTTGTGTTGCACAGATGCAATCAGGTTACATAAAGAGCAATATCACTAAGCATATTGTTCCTAAACTGTTTTGTCCCCATGAATTACAAGAAAACGGGGAAATAAACATCTTGCAAATCAAGTCATGTGATAATCTTGCTGACCTATTTACTAAGTCCTTACCAACTTCTATGTTTCAAAAATTGGTACATGAAATTGGTATGCGGCGACTTCGAGATTTGCCAGAATCAGGGGGAGACATCTCCTAAATATTGACCTGTACCAGCATCATATTATACTCTTTTCTTTCACAAGTTTTACTTACAAGGTTTCTTGTTAAAGTTTTTAATAGGGTAATATTAACATAAGTATGTGTCATATTTCTAATTTTTTCCACTGGGATTTTTGTGGGAAATATCAAAGACACATATTGCCCTCACAACTCATACATGGTTTTTTCCATGAAAATGTTTTTCATGTGAGTTATCCAAGAGACAATACCAATAATATGTCGTCATATTTTCTCCTAATTTTTCCACTGGTTTTTTACATGAGTTTTTAGCAACATATCATTTTATATTGCTCCTCATATTTTTCCTGAAATGGTTTTTGGGGAGTAATCTATATGTCGTGTCTCCTATATTTTTCCCCACTTGAGTTTTTAATGAGATACTAATGACATAATGATTTATTTAAATCACACTCATATATGCTAATTTCTCCTTATTTTTCTATAAGGCTTAAAGGAGTTTTTATAGCATATCTATACATACATATTCCTCAGATTTTTCCCACAGAGTTTTTTCGAGGAATTCGAGCATACAGCTGTATTGATCTCAAAGAAGATTCGATTAAGGGGGAGTGAGTGTTACGAAACGATCCGTTCCTAACAGACACTAGTGATCTCATCAACGAATAACAGTTAGTTAGTATAGCAGTTAGCACCACGAAGGGGCATGTCCCTTCGGTAGTAGACTGTTCCAGTGAACAGTTACATTTTCCAGAACAGTCATGTCCGTACAGCGTCCGTACAACGCGACTCTTCACTTGTATATATATCTAAGAGATCAATAAAAGCAACGGTTGTTCTCAAATCATCGTTCGTTCCATTTACTTTGAACATGATTGACGCTGGAAACAGTTCACCTTCACGGCGTCACCCGGACGAGCGTGGTTCTGCCTTCACGAAAGCTGTATTTTCAAGTCTTTTTCAAGTCTTTGTTCTACACGTCTACTTCTATGACGACAGCCTAAGTACTGGTGCTGCCTTCTTGATCTCCGGTCAATGCTCGCCGACAGGGTCAGCCAACGTGAACTTCCACAGCAGCTTGTCGTCCACACAAACCCCGGTTCAACCGCATCATTCGTGTCTCCATTATGCACAGCATAGCTGAGAATACTGAAGCGGTCTACAACAAGAAGGAATTGCACTTTGGCAACTGCTCTCGAACAAGTGCCTTTCTTGCACATTGTGTAAGTAGATGTTACAGCTATTATGTATGTTGGTACAAACACAATGTACCAGTGAGTTACAGATAAGAATTGCTGCCTGATAAATTGGTAAAAACAAAGGTACAACAACAGCTAGCTTAAATCAAGCTGTTCATGATACAATCAACTGCGCACTTTGCTGAAACAAAGATGAACGCGGCTAAGTTTTCTGAGGCCAATTTCCCTGCCATCAGAGTTAGATGCACAAACCGGGTGGAGCACTATCTGACTATGTGGACCAGGCAGGGGTAAGTGCCGATCTAGCAAGTGCAAGGACCTAGTGAGCTGTTCGCTTTGGTCGTATTTGGCTTATAAGTCATGACTTATCAGCCAACGAACAATATTTTTCTCTCACACAAAACCAGCCAACAGTACTTTCAGCCATGGCTTATAAGCCAAACCAACCCAAACGAACAGGGTGCTAGGTCTGTTTGAGCAATCAATCTCCGAATAGAGTAGACAGCACTAGGCCTTGCACAAAGGTTGCCCTGTCAGTCGCTTGTTTCCGCTTTTGCTCCCTTTCCTCGCTTGTGAGAGATGAATCAATACTGCCATCGAAAAGGAAACAGAAGTTGAACTTCATGTATCTCATACATAAGCAAGAGGGCCCTTGAAACTTGTAAGCACCATTGCTTGACAGCATACATAAATGGGAAGTAACAAAAAACATAAACATCTAGGAAGTGAAATCCCTTTTTGTCTCAAATGCCATGAATGTGCATCTTTTAACAGTAAAGCGAATTATCTGTCAGACTGTCAGTGTACCTTTCTTGTAACTTAGTTCTAATGCAGAGGTGCTGGAAATATCAAGAATCGCTTGCTCAATTAATTCAATTTAAGGCTAAGATTATTTCCATTGAAAGAGAAGAGATTGTTGGTTGTGGAAGTGTGAACTATCATAGTGCAATTCCAAACCTCAGGCAACAGCATATATCAAGAAACCAATGTATGCAAGGTAATTGGATAGTAGAAAGGAGAACAGAAGATGCAATAGGTTCATGATGAGATTGTTTTCAGCAGACATGCAAGCTATTAATAAACAGCTTCAAATTTATGGAAAACAATTGTAAAAATAGTCCATAAAGAATCTAGCAAACTTATATCAGGAGTAATATATACCTTGATTCCCAAGGCTGAACTGGTGTCTCCTTACGTATTGAGGCACCATCTGGAATAGAAAATGCTGATTTTGATGGTTCTGGTGCATCTGATGTTGGGAAGTTCAGGCCAAACGATGAAAGAAGAGGATCACTGGAAATGTTTGTGGTCACTGCGTTATTTGATCTGTGGCCATGAACACCCCCTAGAAGAGCCTGTAAATGAGTACCACGTAGATCTCGGCTCAATAAAGAAATCGCACCTCTCTCGGGAATAATAAATCTGTGAGACCTGTGACCATTCTGTAAGTAGAAAATAAAAATAGGGTGTCAGAAGCCTTCCAAATTTTATTTAGAATGTTATTGCAGAGAGAGGTAGGAAGGTAGAGAGGTGAACCTTGAACAAGTAACCATGTTGCATGGTGATATGGTTAAGCATATCTCTTGTAATCCTTTGGGAGCAAATGGGGCAAGGCTGAAATGAGAGGAAAAAATGAAAATGAGAACACTACCTCTGCTAGCAGTCTAGCAGTACAGCATAAACAAAAGCAGTATGAGGTGCTCATTTTGAATGAATTGTCATAGAGGTGATCTGATAAAGAAGGGCTATTCTGGACCACCTAGGATGACTTAAACTAAGGTGGCACTATCCTTGCTACAAGAAGGTGACTTTTTTAAGATTACTACATAACAAGCCAAATGTATTAATTGAATCCATTATCCCAACTATCGCCTCTCAAACTAATGGAATCAGGTCACACATTTAAAAATAGAAAGTTCTCCCATAAGTTTTCTAGCGTCTCTTGACACCTTTTTATCTACCGTCAAATAATGCAAATCATCCAAAACTTTCTCAAGCACTCATGTAACAACAAAGTTTCTTAGAGGATTTTTTTGTTTGTTTGTTTGGGCGGGGACGGGGTGGGGGGATCCCCACTTAGAATTTGATTGCAGAAGAAAAGGGTACACAGGTTTACCCCGGCACATGGGGGATCATAGAGTTATAAGTTTGAAGGTAAATACGCCAACAACACAATAAAAAAGACACTCACGAGAGAATCGTTTGCTCCAGATGACAAAGTCATCACACGCTGATTTTATAACACGACGGGGGTGAGGGACGCTTGTCACAAAAAAAAAAAAAAATTGCGCCATTTTGCGCATTCCAAAGGAGCCAGAGGATGGTGACGAGGACAGCCTGCCACAACCACAGGTCTTGGCTGAGCTGAGAGGAATTGTGTTGTCATTAAACCAATAGTCTGAAGCACACGAATAAACTTAAACTCGAACTAAGCTACATTCTTTCCTCTTAAGCCCTACTTGAACATCCTATTTGGCACTACGCCACAATTTCCAGTCCAAAGTGCTTTTCTTTGCATGAAGCTACGAAGCCATAAGCTTCAGTTCAGTTGTTGACTCAACCTTGTCTCTCCTAAAATTGCATCTGCCTACTAGACACAGCACACGGATAGTCAAAATCCTCTAACATGGTTACTATACCACAAAAACGAGAGCTCATGAGCTGATTCATCAGGTCAACGCCTCAAGCAGTAAGCTACAACGTTTCCTCCAGATCCAATCGGAGGAAGAAGCAAGAGCATCACGTCTCAGGTTCACAATCCACTCTCTGTAGTAAGAGTCCTGCAGCAAGAAGCGAGCTGACGACTGACTCACCGCTGCGTGGGGCTCGTAGGGGTGGTCCTCCTCGAGGTGGACGCAGAGGGACGCGACGTCATGGTCCTCGTAGCAGTAGGGGCAGGCGACCTCCGGCCACGTCGCGTCCCCGAGCTCCAGCGTCATCTCCATCTCCATCTCCATGTCGCCGTCGTCGTCCATCTCCACCTCCACCTCCTCCGTCCCCATCCCGGGCATATCTGCAACCACCCCCAACAAGAACCCGCCAAATCAGTACCAGGACCGATCGCCTCGCGTGATGTTACTGAGGGAACAGGGAAGGGAGAAGCAGGAAAAAGGTGGGGATGTCCTCACCGTCGACGTGGCCGAGCTGCGCCGCGTAGTAACGCTTGGCGGCGGCCAGGCGCGAGATCCAGTGCTCCGAGTCCATGTCCCGATTTGGTTCCTCCCTACCCTCGCTCGGGCTCCTTCACGTGTCAGGTGCCTTCCCACAGGCTGACGCCTCCCCGTCCCCTCTCCTTGAGCTGTCTCCAAGCTCGTTGCCTCGTTCTCCCCTTTCTGCTCGCCTCCGACAGCAGCAGCGGCGGCACGGCACGGCAGCGGCACCAACAACCGGAGACGATTTTGACCCCGGGCGTGTCCCGACTCCCGACTTCGTCCTCCCGGGAAAGAAATTTTTTTCCTCGCGTAGTTCGCCGGCCTCCTGCCTTTGTTGTTTCTTTGGCTCTCAATACCGGGGAGGATTTTGCTAGGACGGAGAAAGAGGAGACGGCGACGAAGCTTCTTATCGGCAGGAGAGAGAGAGAGATGGGGAGGAAGCGGGTGAGAAATGGGGGCGCCGTGGCGTATGCCTTTTCGACGTACTGGTCGACGTCCGAGTCAGCGCGTGGCCGTGGCACCAACGACAACGACCTCCCACTCTCCGCCGGTCGCTAGTTGCTACCCACTTGCCGCTGGAGAGCATATGACGGGTGGGGCGCACGGGGTAACCTGGCCCCGCGTGGCGGCGGACGCGGCAGCCGAGCCGAAGCTGGACGCGGGGACGGGCGAGTTTGGGTGATAGAGGCCGGCGGCCCGGCGCCGTGCGCCCGTGGGCCGTGTTTTTTTGGCAGGGATAAGAAAGAACCCGCGGCGTCCGCTGGAAACCGCGTGGGGGCGAATAGCCGGATAGGAGGGTCTGCGACGCGGGAGCGGGTGCGTGTGCGTGCGGATTGGGGATGTCAATGGCCCCATCTCTTATTTCTTGTAGGGATTTTTTCTTGCAGGGATTTTTCTTATTATGGAACGAAGATGGTCTTAGTTGAATGCATTCATATTCGTCTCGATCTATACGTGTTCATTCTATATATACGTGTTAGAGTGAATCAGGATGAAACTTAATTTAATTTTCAACTCAATCCACTCCAACGCATATAAATTAAGATAGATACGAGCGTATCAAGCTCTCAGGAGAATTTATAAAGTGTTTAGCATGGTTCCACCTCGACAGGCTCCTCTAACAAAGCCAGAGATGGAGGATAGAGCTACAAATCGTGGCTCAGCGTACGCAAAATAGGGTTTTGACTACTTCAAATGTGTAGAGGTGCTTCTCGCATGATTGTTTAGTGCGTCTCCTCCTCCAATGGTGCTGGAGGTGTCGACGAAGCTAAAGCCGGAGAGACACCGAACAAACCCTTAAATAGGAAAAAGACACCTTGACGGGCTCAGGGGACAGGGATGATTCTTTCTTCCACGCCCTAGATCTCGATGCACGCATCCCCCGCTAGTTTTTCGTATACACACCTATATATCACTAGGAATTCATGATTTAATTATTGTGCGGTGTATATTGCTCATAGACTATGTGTACATTGCAATTCACCAGTTACACACTTACGCTAAAAAATATTATTTACTTTTGTGTTACATTTGAATTGCAACTTCCTAGATGTATCCATGGGGACGAAGATTCCTGTGGGTATTATTCCCCGTGCGTGGACAAGAACTTTTCATCCCTATGGGGACAGGGATGAAGAGCCATTCCCTGACGGAGAATTCCTTGTTGCCATTTGTAGTGTGAAGGGTTCGATAGTCAGAATATGTCGGGGTTATAAACTCGGGGTGTCTCAAGGCACCGATTAATCAAAATGCCACGCGGCCTATAACACATCAGCTAGCGAAAGCCCGAACGATTGAGGCCCAGCTAAGCCAAGCAAACCAGGCCAGACGATAAGGCCAGGGTCAACCACGACCCCTCCCTCTTGCCTTAGCCGCACGGCGCTAGAATGACGCACGACATCTCCCCCATCACGACCCCTGGAAGGAACGAAGAGAGATCGAGTGCAGTCAAGCGTGCCTCCTCTGACAAAAACAAGCACACCGCACTGACCCCGCAAGGACCGAGGGGACAACAGTCACCTCGGTCCGGTCAGACATCATCCCTGTGCCACGCCGTACAGATAAGACAATACCGCCCAAGGCAGTGACGACAAGTACGTTAACCACCGGCCAGATACGGCCCGACAAGACGTGGGTACGATCCCACCCATTACGGGATGGGATCCACGACGAGGGATTTGACTTAGGGGGTGTTTGGTCCCGCCTCCTAAATTTTAGTCGTTGTTTTATTGGATGTTTAGATATATGCATGGAGTATTAAATATAGACTAATTATGAAACTAAATACACAAATTAAAACTGTTTTGCGAGACGAATTTTTTAAGCCTAATTAGTCCATATTTGATAATGTGGTGCTACAGTAAACATGTGCTAATGACAGATTAACTAGACTTAATAAATTCGTCTCGTGGATTACTGACGGATTCTGTAATTTATTTTTTTATTAGTATCCGAACATCCCATGCGACACTCTCATGTGACACCTCCTAAACTTTAGTCACTGGATCTAAACAGGATGTTAGAGGCCATCCAGACTGGCGGGAACCACGACCGCAACGATCGGGATCTTGGCCCCCTGCTTCTCAGGACAACGAGGTGATCGACGATCTAGGGGCAGCAGCCAACTCTCGTATGGTACCCCTGGAAGCCAGAAGATGATGACAAAGACCGCGGCGGAAACCATGTTGCACAGGACGGCTGGCGAACTGCCATCGTGCCTACAGTGTTGCCTCGACTGACACGGTAGCATCATGTCGCGACATGGCCACAAGACCATGACGACAGCCATGTCAGGACGTGCTACACAAGACGACATAGCTTGCAAGCTAAGGTAGCTTAGACCCTCCCTCAGGCTCATGACCATTCGATTGGGAGAACCTCCTGCTTTGTATGTGCCCTAGCCCCGAACTCTATATAAGGGCAACCAGGGCACCCATTCTAGATATTCTGAGTCCCCTACTCATTCACTCACTCTCCATCATAGCAGGGCTCCTGAAGCTTCCCTTCGGGCTGTCCGTCTTCTAGCTTTAGCTCTTCTTTCTCTTCCACCATTCTTGCACCCCCATTGTAAGAACTTCAGAGCATTCAAGCGAGGAACACACACTCGATCATCTCTGAGACTGAACATAGGCTTCAGCCTGAACCAGTATAAATCCTTGTGTCTTTTGAATGCTACCATCGTCTTCCTATAGCAGGGCGGCAATCTTATAAGTTTACTAGTCTGGTTTACAAAACACTGACAGTTGGCGTGCCAGGTAGGGGACATCGCGTAGTCTCGTTTGTTGAGAAGGAAGCGATGGCTCCTCGCACCGCCGATGGACTCGCTCACGAAATGGCCCACGGTGGCCACATTTTCCATGAAAACTATGAGTTCATCGGCGTCAAAGGGCCAGCGCCCGCGTCCGCCTTCAGCCATGGCTCAAACCTCCACCCTAGAGATCTGGATCCCGCGGTCCACGGCGGGCACACTCACGTAACTTCTCTCAGGGGTTGCATCCTAGAGTTCACCTACCTAGAGGGGCCAGTACCCTCACTCATCACCGGTCATGGCCTGGTCTCCCATCCAGGAAACCAAAGGTCTACGTCTCGTAACGAACTCACCCGTGAAATGGCCTCGACCGGCCACATCCTTTTGGGAAACCATGCGGTTAACCACACCAAAGGGCCAGCGCCCACTTCTGCCTTCAGTTGTAGCCCGGACCTCCGCCCTGGAGATCCAGATCCCATGGCTCACTGTAACACCCTTGGTGTTTTAAAACCTAAAACAGGACATGTCATCATATGTATTGCAAAGCATTTAGTCTTAGTGAAAACTTTGATATGCATTCACTAAACACAAGTTTACATTTATGTTATAAGTGTTGCTTTGTATAGTTTGAATCAAGTTCAAAATTTTGTTTGGATTTGAATTTTCGAAAACCCTAAATTTCAGCATTTAAGTTTTGCCCTGGAAAACCCATTTCAAAATCTGAGCACATTTTGGGGTTGAGCCTTAAAGAAAAAGTGTAGATCTTGTTGAGTTGTACAAAGTTGGTTTTTGGAGTTTTCAAAGTTGTTTAGAAAAATTTGAAGTAATTTGAAAAGGCGTAATTCTTTAAATGTCCTATTTTTGAATTCAAATTTGCATTTTAAAATGTAGACCGAATTAGGGGGTGGTTATAAAAGCAAAGTTGTAGAACTTTGAATTTTGAACAACTTTTATTTTTGGAGATTTTTGAGTTGTTACATAAATTTGGGGGTAATTTGGGTTTTAAATTGAATGGCAATTTGGTAATTTTGGTGAACAGTAGCCACCAAAGCCACCTCATCGCTGGCGGCCTTCTTCTCGGTTCCAGGCGCGCGCGTGGCCGTCCTCAGCTTCGCGCTGGCGCGGTGGAGGCCGTGGCGTGGCTTCTTCTTGCTTCTGAGTCGCGTTATAAGGCATGCGTTGCCGTCGTCTTCGCCTTTTCTCTTCCTCTGTTTTCCCGCCGCCGCCGCCATAGCTCCGTTGAGCTCGCATCGCCTCCTCAGCGCAAACCAACCTCGGCAAAGCATCGTCTGAGCTCTGCTTGCTCCTTGTGCACCCAGCCAACCAACCTTGGTCGCTTGAATTCGCCGGGAACCTGCTGTGCGCGCCTTTCTTCCCCGCGGCCGGCAACCTCACCGTCGTGCTTGCGCCGTCGTGGCCAGCGCTCCACGGTGCTCCTCTTTCCTTGATCGTGGTAGCTCCAGCTTCGCCTTGACCCCGTGATGCTCTATGACCAGTTGTTTGATCGTTTTGTCCACCACAGCCACTGGAACACCACCGTCGCCATTGCTCACACCACCGTGACTGCTGTGAACGCCGCCCCGCTTCACCGTTGCTTCTCCGGCCTTAATTCCTGCTCGAGCGTGTTTGTGGTGAGATGCTGAACCTTCCTGTGCCATTTGTTTAACCGCTACCAGTCTCCTATCGCCGGCGTAGCACCGCCGTGCAGTCGTGGCCGCCATGGCCGATGCCGTGCTTGTTTTGTGCAGCGATCGATGCAATTAGTTACATCAATAGGTGCGCATAGTAGTAGGGAGCATGTTGGT